GTTTGTTTGTGTGTGTGTGTGTGTGTGTGTGTGTGTGTGTGTGTGTGTGTGTGTGTGAGAGAGAGAGAGAGAGAGAGAGAGAGAGAGAGAGAGAGAGAGAGAGAGAGAGAGAGAGAGAGAGAGACGCGGCAATCTGACTGAAAACTAACGAGTCATCGCGTGGATAGCTGTAGCAAGCAAGAACCGGAGGGCGGCTATGGCGTCGCAAGCGCAAGTGGGCGAAGAGTGGAAGAAGAGACGGACGGTCTTCCGCTCATCGCAGATGGGAACTATGGCGTTTTTGAATCTCTGGATCTGGCTGTTTGCTCTCATCTGCCTTCTCTCCTTTTCTCTCTCTTCTCCTTCCATCCATGCGTCCTCCCTCCCCTTTCCAATCCGTCGCCATGCAAACTCTCCCTCCATGCAGCTCGACCTAACGTCGACTTTGTCATCCTCTTCATCGTCCTCGTCGTCGTCTTCATTTTCTTCCTTCGTGTCGTGGCCCTGGCCATGGGGTTATAAGTGCTCTGCTACCGCTGTTGCAGAAGCCGCAATGAGACCGATCTGCCCTCCACCGGCCAGCGGGACGTCGCCATTCCTCTCTCTCACTGTCACGAACCTGGCCGGAATCGGGTACGTGTTCGTAAATGCGACCGACTGCACAATCAATTCACGGGAAGGAAGCTTCGAGAAGATCATCAAGGCGTCCGGAGGGGTAATCATCATTCCGGAGAAAGACGTAGATCCCATCGCCTACGCTCCGTACGCTCAGGCTATTGCCAAGGACGGAAATTTTGCAGCCATATTGACAGCGGAGGATGCTGCTGCTTACGGGGTTATCGACACCATGGCTATGTTTCCCATACCACAAGTATGGGCTTTGATGGGTCATGGCGTATCCGGAGGGCAGACGGCAGCAAAGCTCACGCGCGCTCTCTTTCCTCGCGTGTCCACGCTTATACTCCATGCGTCCGTCCTCCCCTCTGGCGTCGACTTCTCGCAGGTAATCTCTCTCTCTCTCTCTCTCTCTCAAAATCTACCTCTCTCTCTATCTCTTTCCGGCGTTATCTGATAATTGAACTGTTGGATGTTTCCTTTTGTGACTCTGCTGAACTTACCTCTTTTGGAGGGAAAAAAAAAAAAAAAGAAAAAAAAAAAAGAACGTACCCCTTTTGGGGGAAACTACGCGGGAGTCAGAAAAATGAGTCATAATTGCAGTATGGGCCAAGATACAGTTTGCAAGTGCAGTTCGGGCAATGTATACAACCCAGCTTTCTGGCCAGGTAGGTTGCCGAGAGTGCAATTGCCAACTGTATCTTGCCCTATAGTGCAGTTTTATATCTATATCTATATCTATATATATATATATCCATGCTGTGCCTCTAGTGCCAGCGGCGTGTCTGGAGTGTATTTTTTGGCTGTGACAGACCTTTCTTTGTTTCGTGGATGTTTTGCTTGGTTGTTGCTTGTGATGGGGTGTGAACCGACAGTCTGTAGAGTTTTCCATCTGGTGTAATCAGTGAGGGGATTCTGCAGACTGTTGAGGGTTCAGCCTCCTGATGAGTGCCCGGTAAACCGTAGGCAGAGAGAGAGAAGAGGACAACAAACGAGGGGCTGTGACAAACTGTTTCGTCAGAGTTTCACCGACTCATCAGGAGGCTGAAAAACAAGGCCTATTCAAACCTGCTAGGCAAGGTGATAAGAGCAGCCTTGCCTAGTAGATCCTTACGCAGCCACTCCATCTATTGGTGCGGAGTATCACCTTCTGAAAACGGCCACTCCATCTATTGGTGCGGAGTATCACCTGCTGGAAAACGGGTCCAGCCTCCCTTATATTACAGAATAGTTCAGGAAAATGTCTGGGAAGGTAACTTAGAAAACCTGCCAGCATTGATTGCTCTGGTTTCCAGAGGATTAACTGTGCAGGTTGTTGAGAAACAGGGAAAAAGCTCTTCGCCCTGTACCAGGCGCCAGATACCTACTGCTGAGGGACTAGTTCCTCCTCCCAACTACTGCTGGGAACCCGGTTTGCTAAAGTTACTCCCTTTTAGGGGAAACTACGCGGGAGTCACGAAAATGAGTTATAATTGCAGTATGGGCCAAGATACAGTTCGCAAGTGCAGTTCCGGCAATGTATACAACCCAGGTTTCTGGCCAGGTAGGGTGCCCCCAGTGCAATTGCAAACTGTTTCTTGCCCTATAGTGCAATTGTAACTCTTTTTTTTTTTTTTTTTTTTTTTTTTCCTGGTGGTGGTGAGAGAACCACCGGGATTGAGGCTTTGCCTGGTGGGCTCGTTTTTGTGACTCTGCTGAAGTAGCCCCCCCCTTTTTTTTTTTTTTCCTTTCTATTTTTTTCCGGGAACTTCAGTGCAGCCGTGACTGGTCCGCTTGACGGCGGTGATAACCAGCGCGGGTCATTTTGAATTTAAATAAAAAAAGGATCACCCTCGTCAGGCGGAGCCTGCATGGAAGGAAGGTGCTCCGGCTATTGGTGGGGAGCAGCACCTGCTGGAAAGCGGTTCCATCGTCCCAGTACCATACATTGTCAATGTGCAAATGTCGTAACTCAGAGTTTGGCAGATAATATATAACCCTGCCAGATAACATAACCCGGATTCCTACTAACCTACGGTTATTAAAGATCATGGCTACGATCCGGACGTCCGGACCGCCGTCCAGACGGTCTGGATTCAGTCTGGAAATTATTAATATTTATTAGTTTTTCAAGTCTTTTTTTTAAGCTTTTTATAGTTTAGACTGCTAGCAC